TGACTGGTCATGTGACTTGTGTCATGACTGGTCTTGTGACTTGTTGTCATGACTGGCCTCATGAAAGGATTTGTGACTGAACACAAGAAAAGAGTTGTCTCTTGTCTTAGAAACAGGCTTGTGACATCTCTGAGACAGGCTTAACCAGAGTAAAGTACTTACCAGCCGTCCTCTGTAGCAATGACACACGGCGAAATTCGGTCGTCTTCAACTTCTGTCTGTTGCCTTGCCGTTGTCTCTCCAGCTGTTTGGGAGTTGTTGTTGACGTCCCCAAAGGCCGTGCTGTGCTGGCAGTTTTCAACAGGCTGGGGTTAAGTAATTCAAATTTCAAAATACAAAGAGAAAGATTAGATATGTGAATGCAAAGTTCGCACTTTAACATACGACTGTAATTAATGGACAGTAACATGTCCCTGTTGTTTGCTCTCCGTGCTGTACGGTGCGACCAGAACAGTCGCATTTGCGCCTAAAAAATGACGAAAGGCGACCAAATGTTTCATTCTTATCGCCAACGGCGACCGTGATTATGTTGTTAGTTGCCCACCTTGTCAGTTGTATTTCACAAACGATCATTTTTGTTCATATCATTGGTTACCATTTATTCTTCAAGCACAAAATCCAAAGCCTGTCTGCCCTTCGGATAATTGACAGAATAATGATTCTGTGTGTGTTGTCAGATTTTGTACACGTATATGTAACTTGTACAGAAATCGACCAGGCACCTAACCTTGTTTCTAGGAGCAAGTGGCTTTTAAATTTAAATACCTCTGTACAGCACTGGTATAACTGAAAACCTATTTGGTGAGAACTCCTCGGACAGATATTGTTAGCAGACTAATGGATTCAAGATTGACGGACAGATGACTGGAACCAATATGGGTCACTGAATCCACGAGATCACATCAATGGGTCCACGAGTCAACATATTGATGGTGTCAAAAGACCCCTGGATATTTAGTAACAGCTTGCCCTTCACAGCTCCATCAGCAACGTCAAAAGTCGACGTAGCTGATGGGGTCAATGGATCCACGAGTCTACATCAATGGGTCCACGAGTCAACATATTGATGGTGTCAAAAGACCCCTGGATATTTAGTAACAGCTTGCCCTTCACAGCTCCATCAGCAACGTCAAAAGTCGACGTAGCTGATGGGGTCCATGGATCCACGAGTCTACATCAATGGGTCCACAAGTCCACGGCCAAGGTATGGTCAGTGACATCCTGACACAGCAGCTCCCTCCCTCTGCACTAGCAATTAGTAAACTCGGCTACTGAAACCCAGCCGTGTGACTGTGCCCCGGGGCCTGGTTGCAGGTGGTCAAAAATTTGGTCCACACCGTCCACTGTCCACGCGACGTTGGTCAAGATAACTAGAGTCCTCACACAAACATGTCCTACACTTACATTGGACGACTCCCCTGCGATGGCAGCGCTAGCCTGGTTGATGTCTCCTCCGAATATCATCACACCTTGCTGAACGGGGAGAGAGAAGGTCAAGGCTTTGAGTCCTTCCTTCCAAGGGGACGTGCAAGAGGTTGCTGCCGGCTCAAAGAACTTGCTCCACTTGACGGAGGCCGCGGTGACGGTCTTACGAATCGAGTCTGGCTCCTTGCTCTTGGTTGACGGAGCCTTGCTGGCATTTGATGCGGCAGTGCCCTTGCGGGAGGCAGGTACTAGACTTGAGTCTGGTGCCTGTCCTTCTCTGGAGGAACTTGCATTGGATTTCGGTTGGGCGGCAATCTGGGAGGGGCAGGGTGCCGTGCTGGACTTGGCCACGCCTGGCGGCCGGCGCCTCTGATTGGCACGGCTGGCAGATCTCATCCGCGCCGCCTGGGCGCGCGTAGAGACCCCTCGCTGTGCTTTCTGATTGGACGATCTAAACAGGCCAAGGACTCTCCGAAAAACCGACATCTCATTTTCCTCTGCCAAGAGTAAGTAAAAAAGGTTCAATATACATTTTTTACTTGAGACCTCCAAAGACATCTCAAGAGACAAAAAACATCTTTTAAAAAACCACATACAGTTGTGACAGCGAGTTCAGAAACACTGCCAGAGGAAATCTTGCGAATGTTCAAAACTTTATCAATTATTTTTTCTGTAGTTGATCAGCAAGCAAAACCACTTCATTTTTGGCAACCACTAAAGAAACTGTGAATGTTGAGTGGATGCTTTGATTGATATGTTGTAGAAAAGGAATGCTTGCCAGGAATGGTCACTTAACTTTTAGTCCAAGTGTGCAAGTATTGAACTTCAGACCATGACGACAAACTTTCAGCTAATGAAGAAATGTGCGAACAGAATGGAAACCTTCAGCAGGGGTTTGAGTGGATACTTAAAAATGAAGCCGAAAACAGCTAGCAAGAAGCTGAAATGTAAGATGTCCCCATACATTTGTACAGACCAGGTGTACCAAAAAGTTGAAATTACGGGTGGATGAAAGCCGAAATCAGCTCTAAACAAAATCAAAATCCATGACTCAATGACACAATTTCTTGGACTATTCGGCCTTTTAAGTTGCAAACTCAATCACACATTTTATGCGCTTATTTCTGAGAATACAAATCACCAAAAATAAATCCCCAACTTTTCCATGACTTTAGACATTTTTACAAAATTCCATGACTTTTCCAGGCCGCAGGAACCCTGCCGATTATTTTATCCAGTCAAGATTAGGGGCCAGTTCAGTTGTCATGAGAAGAACTTTGGTTTAGGAGATTTGGTTACCGGTCAAAACGTCACTAGATTTGAAACAGCCAAGACTGCAATTTTGTACTCTGCAATTTTTTGCTTGGTAAACAACTCCGTGCAATAGTGTAAGGCTTGGCCAATTCAAATAATTGAATATTCAAATAATTGATGTTTGAACAGATATTTGAATATATGATTCTTACTACCAAAATCCCCACAAATGCAGACAGGGGAATATGCATGTTTGTGTGGAAATCTACCCCCTCGAGGTTTGTGTCAGGGGTCCTTCCGCCCGTCAGAGGAGGCCGGACTTCCAGGCAAGATCGCACGTAACAAAATGTAAGTAAGAAACAACAGACGGGAAAAGGGGTCTACTGTTGGACATAAGGCGTCTGCTGACACCGAGTTTACTGGTAGCACCTTGAAACACCCTTTTAGAATGCAAAGTTGAAACCAAACGATTGAATTTCATCCCGTTTTATTTCACGATAAAAAGGTTCATCTACCTTCGGTTTCGCCGTTGCGAGGGCGCTTCTCCACCATCTCGGCACCGCTGGCGTCCGAATCAATACGGCGTCTCCTTTTCCGGCCTGGGAAGAAAATGAATGGAGAATTCGCTTCATTAGAACAAACGTAGAACTCTGACAACTGCAGACCTTTTCCGGCCTGGGAAGAAAATGAATGGAGAATTCGCTTCATTAGAACAAACGTAAAACTCCAACAACTGCAGACCTTTTGGAAAAGGGTTACTGAGGCTCAACATGGCAACCAGTAATAGAAGTTTTCCAACACGTTTCCAAAAGTACTTGACCTATGATGGTAGTCCCTTGATTATTTGTTCACTTTGATCCAAATCACGGCAGATTTTGAAAGAAGTACAAAGGAAAGCTTGATCTTTCAGTGAACAACGCAGATGACTAAATGTATTCATTAAAAAGTTTTTTAAAAATTCTTTGAGTGCTTTGCAGACGAAATCAGTGAAGGCGTTTATAAATTTAAACAAACATAAATTAGGGCATTTATAGGATTGTGGAAAGTAGACCAAGGCAACAGCTTTTCAAGTTAGGGAATTAATACATCATCTTTATGTTTTTTTAACGTAAAGTGTAACTCTAAAATCCTGCCAATACCCGGTCTGGCTTCGGACTCCTCTGCCACTATTGCCTGCAGTGAGTCGATTTCCCACTTTTCCACGGTGGTCCTCCAGATCACTGGCAAGAGGTTCTTGGCACTTACTCTGTAGGCAAGAAAGTAATCAAGTTGACGGTGGCGGTCATAACATCTGTGAATAGACACTGAATGCCATGACCCGAGCACAGGGCAAACTCAAGCAACAACCCAAGTTAAGTCCCGTTTGACCAATGTCACTCCAACAAGAGATGGTTGGACTAGTCAAGGGGGAGTTTGAGTAACAGCTCAAGTTAACCTTAGTTTGACCAGCGCCACTCAAATGGTGGATGGTAGGACCATTCAATAGGACCATTGTTAAAACAATTCTAGTTAACCGTAGTTTGATTTAAGCCACTCAAACAATGGATGATAAGACTAGTCTAGGGCAGGTTCAAGTGACAACTCAGGTTAACCACAGTTAAACCAACACCTCTCCAACAATAAACGGATGGACTAGTCTAGTAGACCAATAGGTACCAGACCCAAAACAGGTCTGGAAGTGGAGAGGGACTCACAGGTCTGGCGGGGGATGTAGAAGTCGGGGTAGGATGCGTGACAAGTCGGTGGTCGGGAGCAACTCGTCTTGGCTCAGACGCAGAACGGCCAACGCCACGCGGAAAATGGTGCTGATACCTACAGAACGATTCAAAGAGCAAGTCTGAGACTGTGTGATTGTAGAGCGGGGCAGACGGACCGAAGTGGGGCTGGCTGAGACATCAGTCAATGTTGGAAACTGTTGAAAACCTAAACGACTACTTCCTTTACAAGATCAAGTGAATGACATGCTTTATGACTGCACAGCAACAAAAATTTCCTTTGATGATCTCAAGACCCTGATGGCGGCCAACTGATTTTTATTATTGCTGATTAAACCTTTGATATATGTACATGACGATCAGTAAAAAAAATGAAAATGCTGAAACATGGTTTTTTTAAAAATAAGGTAAAAGTCTTTTTCTAGAGATGTTCTTATCTCACTCCTACGACCTTTTTTTCTTGAGACAAAAATTGTTTTCATGACGGTTTGTCGACGGTATCATTCCACGCTGCACTTGCTCTGGACGCGGTATTGTTTCAGCCGAAAATACCAACTTTTTAAACCGACTGGACACCATGACTGCATCTCTTTACAAAGATGGACTTTCCAAAATGCTTACCCTTGGTGGTCATTTCTTCAAGATACTTAAGATTTCTTACATCGTCGCTTTTCCAAAACTATGAGACTATATCGTCAAGTGAAAGTTTCTACAACAACTTGGGGATTCCGTGCTTGCACCTGCAAAGACTACTATGGTATTGAGTCCTTCGAATAATCACAGGGTTAGGAGGGGGTCCTGGGTGAAGGCGGGGCTTACCATCCAGCAGGAGGAGGTCCCAGATGGCCAGTACGGTGTCCCAGCACGGGAAGGAGGTGTACAGACACATGAACCACGGGGTGACGAAGGTCAAGAGGTGGAGATCAATTGACGCCTGTAGTGGAACAGTGCGGTCAGACAAATGAGCACGCCCTCTGTTGGTCATGTTCAGTTAGTGGCAGGCAAATTCAAAATATCATGGAAAATGTAATTAACCTCAGAGAGCTGGATATTTACGCCCATCTCACAGCCGGGCAGGGGGGGATTCTGTCCCCCTTACGAACTTGGCAGTGCCACACCCGATTTGTTGATACATGCATGCAGGAACAGTCGTTATCATTACAAATATTATATCAACTGGGACGCTTGAATTCCATCAGACATATGGTTTTGTTGTTAGGGTCATTTGAAGTTCAAGGCAAAATGCGTGCCAGCCATTTTTGGCTGACCTGTCTCAGAAAAATGGGGGCTGCGCAAGAACGGTGAGTTTGATTTTTGGAGTTAAAATAATCTCTAAGGGTTGCTGAAAAAACTCGTGAAGGTTTTCGACTTGCAAGAGAAAGGTAACGTGGCAAGATCAGAAAACACATGGACCGGGGGAGAATTCCGACTGTTTTCAGGCTTAAGGCCGGCTCGAACTGGACACAACATTTTAACTCCAGCAAATTACACTTCCATCGTTGAGTGACATCGAATTCGCTTTTGCGTTTGCCTGCAGTTCGTACTAGTGTTTAACTCAGTAAACTCAGAAAACTCAACGCTGTCAGCGAGCAACTGTTTAGCAGTGTCTCATACCGGATAAAATGCAGTGGAACTCTGTCTCTCCCGTGTTCAGGGTGCCGGAGATATACTTTTTTACTTGGCAAGATTCACAGAAGGCTTAATTTCATTCATTCAGAAACATTTCTCCACAATGGGCATCAGCGCCGGGGGGAAGCGAAGGCAAACGAAATCAATTTTTCGTTAGCTGAAAACAAGAGCAAGTAACACATCGGCGACAAACAGACTCACCAGATGGTTGGCGAGTTTTGGTAGTCGGTGGGTGATCAGCTGCTTGAAGACGGTTGCGTGCTGTTGAATCCTGGGCAAAGTATTTAAGAGATAAACACTCAAAGTGTTGCTCGAAGAAGGTCAGAACAAACAGGTTGAAATGTGGGGTAACAGCTGAAGGGCGTTCGGGGAGATTTTCCACACAGCTCAAAGATTAATTACCTGTTGGGTGCCGTAAGAACTAGCTCTAGCAAAAAAGAGACGCCGGGAGAAACAGACCTCTCACTTTGAAAACTTTGAAATTTGCCGTATGTTGCTGAATTGGAAAGAACTTGAAGATAAAATATTAGCTAGGGGGATGGGTTAAAAAGAAAAGGCACAGTGCCAAATACTCACCTGAGCATTGATTGGTCAAAGTATCCCGCCAGGTACTTGGGTTTCTCAAAGAGCGCCACCATAGCCCAGAAAGCCTCCTCTTCGTCCGACATCTGCATCAGAAACATGCCGGCGATGTACGACATTCCTGTCGATCAAGTATCAATATGGCTAGTTACTGTTTGGCAGTCAATAAGCAATGTAAGATGTTCCTGTCAATTAAATATCGATACATGCTCTGTGTTGATTACACATCGATATGAGTAATTACTTTTAGCATTAAACGAGCGATGCATGAACTTCCGTCGATTAAGAATCGATACTATTTTAATGCAATGTTGACATGCACTTTCAAATAAATATCAATACACAGCACAATAAACAGCAAACATGAGGTGATTCTGACTAAATCTTCCTATCAATTAAATATTGATATGTATGAAAGTAATGTCTCAGTTACTCTTTGGCTACAATGTAGATTGATTTTAGAGTCTAAATTACCTTTTTTAAAATGATGACGTCAGAAGTACATATCATGAAACCTCAACTGTGACCATACAGAGCTACATTCAATTACAAGAACACTATTAAAACTCGTCGTACAATTTTACACAAGGTCAAATTTGAAATTTTGTCAAGCTTTTGTATGGCCATTTGCAAACACATATCTGATGTCTGTATTCTAAAGCAATGCGTCATTCAAGTAAGTAATAATGTAACATCATAAATGAGGATTTCATTTTGCTCTGTGTGAAAAATCCAAAGTGTGTACATATTCTCTCCAGATGACTAAGGTTGGAATTAACATTTGATTTTAAAATACGTTAAGACAACTTTTCCATACCGTTAAAACGTTTACCCAACACTTTACAGAGGCTACCGCTGCCTACCTCGGTGTTTTCATATATGCATAATTATACAGTTCAGCAATGCACGTGGTCTACATTTTGCTCAAAACGTGCATGGATGCCGAAAGGGACAAGTGCTCTGAATATCAGATTACACTTTACAGGCATTGTTTACAATCAAAATGAATGCCAGATTGCATCAATCCAAACATCGAACCTCTGAAAGCGGTGGTTCCGTTTAAATGTTTGAAAAAAAACTGTAAACGGATTTGGAACTTTTTTTGTTTAAACATGTAAACGTCTCACCCTTACAGGTGACACGCTTGTTATTACTCATATATCTTGTGCTTGCGTGTTAGGAGAATTGAGATTTGTTCCATCTTACATGTACATGTATTTCATTACGTTCTCCTAACACACAAACTACATGTACATGTGCTTGCATGTTAGGAGAATTGAAATATGTTTCATCTTACATGTACATGTATTTCATTACGTTCTCCTGACACACAAACTACATGTACATGTGCTTGCGTGTTAGGAGAATTGAAATATGTTTCATCTTACATGTACATGTATTTTATTACATTCTCCTAACACAAACTACATGTTATCAAAAATGTCTGTCCTCAGGAGGGTATCAAAGTCTCTCAGTATGTGGCGACGCGGAGTCAGCGCCCTAGTCATTTCCTACAGTACAGCGCCCTCTTGCATGGATGCACAGACAGGACTGCAGAGATCATCTCACCTTGGCAGTAGCCAACCTGAGGGTTGTACAGGGCATAGACGGCCAGCACGCGGAACAGCGATGCCCGGCCCTCTTTCGCCTCCTGCGACCCCTCCATGAACTGGCGGTGTGCAGGGAAAGTGCGGTCTAGACAGAGACATGAGGGTTCATGACAGCCACAGTAAAAAAAAAGGTTAAGTTTCCTGCCAACCCTGACTAGAAGCATCTCCTGTGGTGGATCTAAATACTTATTTTTATCAGAGGTGAAAACGATGTTGGCACACATAGTTTTCAAATCTGAGAAATACCCTGATCAATGTATGCCCGAGGGTGCTATTACAACGTTGTCACGGAAGGCACTTCTTGTCCAAAGAGCATATGAAGAAAGGAAATATCAATCCTTCAATATCACTCACGCAATTGAACCCAATTGGATTGCAATTGATTCCCAGCAAAAGCAATTAGGTTTGGAATTTGGTTATTGAACTGATAAGTGAATTGGATCCAATTGGTATGTAAATTGGATCCAATGGGTAAGTAAATTGGTCTCAATAGGTAAATGAATTGGACATTTTCAGTAGGGCGCCTCTGAATCATTTCATGTTCGTGCTCACCCACGTCCACCGTGATCTGTCGAATGACTAATAGTGGGACGGGAAAGTTGGCTCCGGATTCAGCGGTGCCCGACCATTCCGGCTGACTGTGCTTGAGGCAATACTCGCTGATGCCGATATCCACCAGCTCTCGACGTATCAACCTGACGCTTGCCTGCAAATCAATTTAAAGGGTCCGCACAATGCGTTTTTCATACAACCGTTGGGACTTTTTATTTTATTTATACATATTTTCGGCTATTTTATATAGTTTGGGGTCTATTTGGTTTTATGCTAATGATTATTTCCATATTCATGAGCAAAACTGTGATGCCAACCTTGGAATGTTAACACTAATTTGTGCAGAAAAAACTGCCAGAATTGTTCATATTTTGCTGGCCTAAATATCCTTTCCTACAGTGTCTCAAAGAACTTGGCAAGAAGCCAAGCAGCAATCCCTTCCCCAAAATGTTTCAGTGAGTGACCTTTGGTTTCCACAAATTCAATAGACGAACCTGTGGAATGAACCGTGCCCTCCCCGATTGACATCACACCAACAGCGCCCTCAGTTATCCCCCCCAAAATGAACACTGCTACTGGCTCACAAGTGCACTTTGGAATCTTTATAACTTCAAAAGGATGGCAAACAGTTGTGTCACAAAAGAAACACGTGTGAAGTTGTGAAAAATAGTTCTGAAAACTAGTTCTAAAAAATAGCTCAGAAAACTAGTTCTGAAAAACAATTCTGAAAACTAGTTCCAAAAAATAGGTCTGAAAACTAGTTCTAAAAAATAGGTCTGAAAACTAGTTCTAAAAAATAGCTCTGAAAACTAGTTCTAAAAAATAGCTCTGAAAACTAGTTCTAAAAAATAGTTCTGAAAACTAGTTCTAAAAAATAGCTCTGAAAACTAGTTCTAAAAAATAGTTCTGAAAACTAGTTCTAAAAAATAGCTCTGAAAACTAGTTCTAAAAAATAGCTCTGAAAACTAGTTCTAAAAAATAGTTCTGAAAACTAGTTCTAAAAAATAGCTCTGAAAACTAGTTCTAAAAAATAGTTCTGAAAACTAGTTCTAAAAAATAGCTCTGAAAACTACATGTAGTTCTGAAAAACAATTCTGAAAACTAGTTCTGAAAATAGTTCTGGGAAAAAAGTTAGTTCCAACAGATCCAAGGTGTTCCTTTAAGTTCCCCGCAGCTGCCAAACCTGTCAGAGACAGTCATGCGTACCGAGACGTCTCCAATTCATCTCTTCAATATTACGGTGATTAGATAAAATATCAGTTTTAGTGTAAATAATTTGATGCTAGGACTTGGGGTGTAATATATCAGGCTTATTGAAACAAACAATGCAAATATTAGATTTCCTTTCTTATCAAATGAAAAATTTTCACCACTAAATACCATTTCCATTGTTTGTTTTGTAAATTGACCGTGGTTTGGTTGTTGTTTATGAGAGAATCTCATTGTGAACATCAACTGTAACTGATAAATTGTTAGGCTGTAAGATGTAGTCGGGTCATTCCATGAGGTTGGGGCACAATTTGTGATGGTGTCAATTGTTACATGGGTTCCATAAAAATGAGCTATTTCCCTGCAGGTGGATTCCAAATTGACATTGTTATACATCTTGCAAGGCTGAATGCAGAGGGGTGTGTTATTTTTACAGAGTTAATGACCTACTCTACAGGTCATGACAGGTGGTACAAGTCGCAGATGTAAGAGGGACACCGTCAACAAGCAGTGCTCCAACCTCATGGAATGACCCAATTACATGTACATGTATTTGTAATAATTGTGATTATGCTCTGAATCCGGTGTAAAACAAATTTCCGAATATGGACAATAAACTCAAATCAAATCAAATCAAATCAAATGTTGCAGGGATTAACTGTTCAAGATTCTTTCTGGAGCCTTCAACTAAAACGTGGCTCTGGCAACATCCGACCCATTTTCTTTTAGGTTACGTCCATTTTGAGCTCCGTACCTGCTCCCGTCGAAGACTTGAGGTGAAAAAAGAAACAGAAAAATGCATTGGACAAGTTCCCTTGAGGGCATGAAAGTCACTGTCTTTGTGACAAGGACTAGGCTCTTGAGTTCTTCACCAGCCAAGAGTGCGGTTTTGACCCAAACTACCAAAATTCAGATTTTCGGCAAATGCATGCATGTCAGCAGTGAGCAAAGTGGAGAGATTTGAAGAATCCCTCCCCAAGTTCTTGGCCGTCGGTGTACGATCTTTACGAAACTTAGCATGAATGTAAACCGTTCTATACACTGTTTCCAATTCAATCTAATATAGGGATTTGTTATTATTTGGTCATTTCACATTTTAGTTGTGTTGAAAAAACAGTGCACTAAATACATTACAATATACAAAGTTAACTTTTTTGGTTGANCCTGTCTCCGGGAAATGGGTATGACACATGAATGATTGGTCCATTTTTCATAAGAGTGGTGCCAAAATGGTTTGTAAGACATTACTGGAAAAATAGTAGACATTTGGCACGTAAAGAATGCACTGTGCCAAACGGGTGGGTTCCAACAGCCCCTGAGCCCCGATAACTTTTAGGACTAACAAACTTGATAGTCCCTTATGTTTGAACTTGTAGGTTCCAATACCTTGTAGCTGAACTTTGAGGACTGTCTGGTGTGTTCGCACCCCAACAGGTTCCGCCAGAGTTGTTGCCGTAGCGACGGTGGTACCCCCTTCTTGAGTAACGACCTGAGCTTACTGCTGCCGTGTGTCTGAGTCCGAGACCAGTCTGCCAGCATGGCCTGCCATGCTTCCACGTGGGCTGGACTACAGTCGTCTCTGATGTTTTAACCCAGAAAAAGTTAGAAGTTACCCTGGGTAAGAGTTGGCCCCAATTTAATTGCCAGACGACTACGGCCAAGTGCAACGTTTCAAACTTACATTTCAGTCGGGTGGTGCCTCTCCGATTCGAACAAGGTGGTGTCTTTGAAGACAGCAAAGCCGTGTTGGTCAAATCGCTCCACGCCTTCCGGTAGGTCAAGTGCAACCTTCATGACGAACTCTGTGCCAACAAGATGTCAAAAATGAAAGCGGGTGACAGATGCCTTGATAGAATGCAGTTGCTATAGTTACGGAAGCTGTAACATGACTTCCAAAATAAAGTTGCTGCTTTGTACAATAAATAAAGGTTAGGTGTCTCCATGAGTCTGAAAATCAGGGTCAACATCTAAACAAAAAAGCTGAAATCAGCTAAAAAGCTGAATTCTCACACCCCTGCTATTCAAATGAACTGCGCCAAAAGCATTCCTCTGTCATTGTTCACCCTGCTACTGGTGACTGGTCTTGTGACTGGTCTTGTGACTGGTCTTGTGACTGGTCTTGTGACTGGTCTTGTGACTGGTCTTGTGACTGGTCTTGTGACTGGTCTTATGTATGGTCTTGTGATGTGCTTGACTAAAACACTAGTTTAAATACCGTACATGTTGTAGGCTAGGCTTAGTATTAACCCCACATAAACTTTGTCCATCAAAATCTAAATGACAAAAGTTAAACCCAAGTCCACGATAGACTTAGGACTACGTGTAGGCCTATTATTCTTTGCAGAAGCAACTCCTGACACGGTGATATCAATTTTCCAAATCATATCAAGTCTCGAGTCAATTTTTCCAAGTAAATTCAACATAGGTAGGGACATGATAAATGAGTGAGGGCGCTGTTCATCTGGGACACTCGTTTTCTTAAAAAGGAAACAGTACTGTGATTCAAATTTGTCTTTTTTCCACAAATTTTTTGAAATTTCAAATAAAGTCAACACTTAACTCATTGAACAGGTTGAAATAAGGCACGAACAAGAACAAAGATTTTATGAAAATGTGAAATTTAAGCTTTTTAGTCAAAATCCACACTCATTTTTGAGTAAAAAAATTCAGTTTGCTCTGCAGTCTGCACTACACACTAACAAGAAAATTAAAAACAAAAAATCTCAAAATATCCCCGCTTCAAATAAATTTTTCTTTGCTTTGCAGAGTCTGGTGAAATCCAACTGTCCAAATTTATATCAAAATGTTTCTTGCGACATCCTTTCCAAGATCGCTTCTAAAAGAAAACACTTCAAACCAGACAAAAATAGTTGAAAATTTATGAGCCTCCCTAACATAGGGCTACATGTGATCAAGTTTCAAGTCAAAATATAGCGACGTGTGACTCGACATGCTCGAGTCCGAGTCAACGACTCGAGTCAACATGCCTGGTCCACCCATGGTCATATGCCATAACATCTGCTTAGGCCTACGTACATGTGAAAATAAACCTCGAAAAAATGCGGAACTGTTTTCCGTTGTAAGAAATCACTAAGGCTATTATTAATCAATTTTCCAACTTTAAACAAAGCTAACTTATGGCACGGAATCTCTTCTTGAACAATACCTACAAACGGCAAATTTCCGACTTGGTCCAAACCGCTTCAATTCATTCAGTGTAGCTAGCTTTCAATTCTACGCGTCCTTCAAATTGCAAATAAACCGCTTTGTGTCAAAAGGCGCCCTCAATAGAAGGAAACAGATTATTCGCTTAAAAGAAACACACGTGGAGGGCGCCCTTTAATTTGCCCATGTTTTACTAATACACTGTCTGTTGGGAAGGAAAGTTGGTTAATTAATCGATCGATGGAGTGCACAGGTGGCTCAATTTAAGTAAATTCTGTGAACCCCCTCCACGTGTTTAATTTCCTTTGACCGCCTGTCCCTATGACGATTGCAACCAGTAAGTTGACAAATAAACACTTATTCGAGGGGCACTCAAATGCTCACAGAGGGATACACTTGATATGGAAAAAGCCTCATTTTTGAGATCTTGCCACTGATGAAATCGAAAATACCCGGGCTCTCAACCTCTGACCCCTAACCCTTGCGTCATATCTATTTATATCCGTGGGTGATGGCCTGACCTTAGATTTTTTATCAAAGTCGTCAGGAAATCTTTGGGCAGGAACTTAACAGACTACGTTCTCTAAGTGGCAATTTAGAAAATCCCTTTAAACACCATCCATATCTACACTGAATGTCCAATCTACTCTGGATATTGCCCTCCCATAAATCAATCGGAGGCTAGAGTTCAGCTGGCCAGTACTCAAGGTGGTCTATGAATATACTTAGTAAAACTCCCCTGTGAACGGTGAAGTTCTTGGCCACGTTGGCACACTCAAAATTTTCCAGTTGGGGTAACACTACACATTACCCGCATGTCGAGTCCTCATCAACATTTCAAGATTTCGATGTAATATTTGCCGGTACCTTTCCACTTGATGGTAAGCAAAACCCCTTTCAGTGCTTTATTATGTTTAAGATAGATGATTATTATATTAATTGTTATGTCTAACAGAATTAGGTATTTTAAGAAACCACTTTTGAGTTAGTATTTAGTGCACTGTATGTCATGCAATGGTTTATTTTCTGTTTTGTTTAGATCTTATAATGCAAATGCAGCTGCCGTTTTGAGTATATGTACTGCGTTATAAGGCTGGACAACCATTAAATGGTAGGTATCCGGCACTAATATTTACAAATACTACAAGTACTAATATTTTAGTACTCTGCGTCATTAAGTACATGTAAGTTTCTGGCCTTTGTGCGCTAACGCTTTCTTCATTGGCTTTCAAAGTGTTACATTTAAGATAATCTTTTTGAATGTCTACTCCAGAGTTCTCGATCATTGCTGATTTTATTCCTCTTTTTGTAGACTTTTGAATTTTGAGCACCTATCGATCTATAATGGTAACTTCGATTGTTTTCGTGGTCATCGTGGTTTTTCATTGGATTTCTAGGGAACTTTGATCTTTAATTTCTCTATATATCCCCGTGTGCTTTTTCAATAAGCTGTCCTCTACAATGTTTGTGTATTTTATATCTTGTAGTTTTCACGGTGATTTGGAGCCTTGAATAATACCAATGCTTCAAACATCAGTCGAAGCTTGCGTCCGTGTTTCATAATTCATCAACCAGCCTCAAGCCGTGTGCTTCAGTGCGCTACATGTTCAAAGCTGGCCAGCACCGGACATCACCGACAATAGGCGGCGCTCTACATGATGTCACGTTTTCAGGAACACGAAGAAGAGCTCTTCTAAATATGGAACTCNAAATTCTCCCACCCCCCCCCCCCCTCCATGTGTTTAATTTCCTTTGACCGCCTGTCCCTACGACGATTGCAACCAGTAAATTCGAGGGGCACTCAAATGCTTACAGAGGGATAAACTTGCAGTATTGCCCACTGGATATGAAAAAAGCCTCATTTTTGAGATCTTGCCACTGATGAAATCGAAAACACCCGGGCTCTTAACCTCTGAACCCTGACCCTTGCGTCATATCTATTTATATCCGTGGGTGATGGCCTGACCTAAGATTTTTTTTTTATCAAAGTCGTCAGGAATCTTTGGGCAGGAACTTAACAGACTACGTTCTGTAAGTGGCAGTTGAGAAAATCCCCTTCAAACACCATCCATATGTAAACCGAAGGCCCAATCTACTCTGGATATTGCCCTCCCATAAATCAATTGGAGGCTAGAGGTCAGCTGGCCAGTCCTCAAGGTGGTCTATGAATATACTTAGTAAAACTCCCCCGTGAACGGCGAAGTTCTTGGCCACGTTGGCACACTCAAAAATTTCCAGTTGGGGTAACACTACACTTACCCGCATGTCCGAGTCGAGTCCTGATCAACATTTCAAAATTTCGATGTAATATTTGCCGGTACTTTTCCACTTGATATTAAGAAAGCTCCTTACATTGTTTATTATGTTTAAGATAGATGATTATTATATTAATTGTTATGTCTAGCAGAATTTGGTATTTTAAGAAACCACTTTTGAGTTCAAAGTAGTTAGTATTTAGTGCACTGTATGTCATGCAATGAGGTGGTTTATTTTCTGTTTTGTTTAGATCTTATAATGCAAATGCAGGTGCCGTTTGGGGTATATTTACAGTTTTATAAGGCTGGACAATCGTTAAACGGTAGATATTGACCTGTACCAATATTTACAATTATGTTTGGTTGATGGTTTATTAGTACTCTGCGTCATTAAGCACATGTCAGTTTCTGGCCTTTGTACGTTAACGCTTTCTTCATTGGCTTTCAAAGTGTTACATTTAAGATAATCTTTGTGAATGTCTAACTCCAGAGTTCTCGATCATTGCTGATTTCATTCCCCTTTTTGTAGACTTTAACGTTTTATGAATTTTGAGCACTCGATCTATAATGGTGCTGAACTTCGATTGTCTTCGTGGTCATGCGTGGTTTTTCATTGGATTTCTGGGGAACTTTGGTCTTTAATTTCTCTACACATCCCCGTGTGCTTTCCCAATAAGCTGTCCTCTACAATTTTTGTGTATTTTATATCTTGTAGTTTCCACGGTGATTTGGAGCCTTGAATAATACTAATGCTTCAAACATCAGTCGAAGGTTGCTTCCGTGTTTCATTATTCATCAACCAGCCTCAAGCCGTGTGCTTCAGTGTGCTACATGTTTCAAAGCTGGCCAGCACCGGACATCACCGACAATAGGCGGCGCTCTACATGATGTCACGTTTTCAGAAACACGAAGAGCTCTTCTAAACATGGAACTCTGNTGCCATCTCGCATTCCAAAAGACGGTGTTCGTGAAAAGTGCAGCTGCAAAGTACGAGGTGGAAATGCCTCATCACCCTTCCCTGGGTATACATAAGCACAGATTGAAGGGGTTCGTTATTAAATGACCCTGATAGGACCAGGGTGCAACCCCCCCCCCGATATTGTCACACTGCATTTGACTTTTCATGCCAAATCTTTTCCAATTTCTGAACTTCATGCAATCAGTAATTTTTGAACCCCATGAAGTCTATAAAAAATACCCCTTTTCGGGTTGGGCGGCCCAAAAGTGCATATTTTTCCCGGCACTTGGATGTACTGAAATACGCTGGGACCAGCACTGCGAGAGCCTGGACGCCGGTGAACTATGAATGAACGAAACAGAAAAATGCGATTTCGGATTGCATTATAATTTCACACATTTACTTATGCTCATAATTTTTGTTCAACATTCCTGTCAATTTTGGGTTCAAAATATCACCTGTTTGGTGGCCAACACTGGAGGCCGGACCCCCCCCCCCCAAGATTGTCCAGAAATGTTATTTTACACTTATGGGGGGCGATATTGAACAGTTCAAGTTAGATTATTTTCCAACAAAATTCACACACCCCCCAAAAAACACACGAACAGCATTCGCTCAAGAACACAACAGAATGAACAAAGTGAGACCCATACCAGCAATGTCATGGCCAGGTTGATATCATTTTGGGTCAATTTCTGTGACACAGACCAAATTCCCCGATCTGTCACCTTTCGACACGGGTTGTACGCGAGGATTTGGATGGCTGCCAATCCAGCAATCTTCCCCGTCGTAATGTGGGACTCATCACGACAACTTCCGGTCCCTATTCCACGATGCATCATCGTGCAAATATGTCGACAGCGGCGGTGAAGCTGGCGGTATTAATCTTTGACTTTAACCAGAATGTCACCCGGTGCACTCTCCGTGTACTCGCTGTCACCGGAAAATGTTCTTGGCGGAATGTGTCAGCATTTCACTGTTTCCAATAATTACAGCACTTAAAGAAGACGTCTTGGGGAAGCGACTAGAAAAAGCTTCCTGAAATGTTCAGGCAGGTAAACTGTAAGTCTCGCATTCACTCGACCTCACATGGGTGGAAGGTCGGTATTGGCTAATTTCCTCGGGTCGCATGACGTCATTTGTACAATCCTCATTGGACAAGCAAAAATAAACAGGTCAACGCTAACGCATTTACGCATGCGCTTTGACAAGTACACCCGCAGACATCCACTTTGTCTTCTCAAAGAAAGCAATGGTTGGAACATTAATCGTTTATATCTCTTCTAATAATAATAATATTTTTAAGACTAGTTGATTTTATTTGGTTACACAATAAAAAACTGACCTGCCACTGTTTTCACTTGTGGAGATCCATAATTTACAAGGAATTATGCCATCTGTTGAAGTGAACTTAAGCCTAGGTCATTCTGATCATGTGATTCTACCTCCATGTTCTGATTAAGTGAGTCAAGTTTTTAAAGTGACAATTGATCCTTGGATTGTTTAGACTGAGGATGCCACTGGTCCCTTTCTGAACATGTTTTATTTCGTGATTTTCAAAATCTAAAGAAAAAAAGAAAAGATGAAATAACAAGTAACACGTCCCCACGTGCAAGGAGTGTATTCAGATGCCGTCCCGAATAGCCCAACCAGCAAGAGGGCGCACTTCATCGAAGTCTTGCAAAATGGCAGATCGGCGACCAGACTGCCCCTTTAATAGATTCCTCATCATCAAGCATGACGAAGACAACAAAGTTGCAACATCACCGACCGCGAGCGATGACACCCCCATGAACATTGGGACCCGCGCGCACCTATCCACAAGTTTCGACCCCAGCGCGAAGCTCTGCGTTTTGAAAAGG